GGGGAACTAGGACTACTTCTTTATGACCATGATAGTTGAAAGGAAAAACATGAGGCTTTTCCCTATTAAATAGAAGGTCAATACCTCATGTTGGTGCCTGGTTGGAAATAATACATTTGCAGGCTCATAAAGGCTGCCTGACAAAAAGCATGTAAACAGTGATTGCTCCTATGGCCCTCCCTGTGATTTGGCAGGCTTATGGAGCAGTTAAGAACAGGAGATGTCGGCTGGGCACAGTGGCTCACGCCTGTAATCCCAACACTTTGGGAGGCCGAGGTGGGTGGATTACCTGAGGTCAGGAGTTCAAGACCAGTCTGACCAACATGCTGAAACCCCATCTCAAAAAAAAAAAAAAGGATCTCATATGCCCAACACAGAATCTAACGACATGTTTAATAAAAACTATTATCATTAGTGGAAATACTGAATTGCTTCATTTCTTTCTTTTTTTTTTTTTTTAAGATGGGGTTTCACCACGATGGCCAGGCTGGTCTTGAACGCCTGACCTCAGGTGATCCACCCACCTCGGCCTCCCAAAGTGCTAGGATTACAGGCGTGAGCCACCGCACCCAGCCATTTCTGCTTTAAAATAAAAAAAAATTTTTTTAATTTAAAAAATTTAGCACCCAGGCTAGAGTGCAGTGGCATGATCTCAGCTCACTGCTTCCTCCATCTCCTGGGTTCAAGTGATTCTCCTGCCCCTGCCTCCCGACTAGCTGGGATTACAGGCGCCCACTACTAAGTGCACACCTAATTTTTGTATTTTTAGTAGACAGGGTTTCACCATCTTGGCCAGGCTGGTCTCGAACTCCAGTCCTCGTGATCCACCTGACTCAGCCTCCCAAAGTGCTGGGATTACAGACCGGAGCCACAGAATCTCGCTTTTTTTTTTTTTTGAGACAGTCTCCCTCTTTCGCACAAGTGGGAAATAGTCTGATCTTGCCTAACAGCAACCTCCATTTCCCAGGCTCAAGCAATTCTACTGTCTGCGGAGTAGCTGGGACTACAGGTGTGTGCCACCATGCCCGGCCAATATTTTATTTTTAGTAAAGATAGGGTTCCACAATGCTGGCCAGGCTGGTCTGGAACTACTGACCTCACGTAATCCATCCATTGGCCTCCCAAAGTGCTGGGATCACAGGTGTGAGCCACCATGCCTGGCCATTTCTGCTGCTTAAGATGCTTTAAAATGGGGTGGGTGTGCTGGCTCACGCCTGTGATCCCCGCACTCTGGGAGGCCGCAGCAGGTGGATGATGAGGCCAAGAGATTCAGACCATCCTGGCCATCCATGGTGAAACCCCGTCTCTACTAAAATTACAAAAATTAGCCAGGCTTGATGGTGCGCAGCTGTAGTCCCAGCTACTTGGGAGCGGGAGGCGGAGGTTGCAATGAGTCCAGATCCTGCCACTGCACTCCAGCCTGGTAACAGAGTGAAACTGTCTCAAAAAAAAAAAAAAAAGGTTTTAAATAAATAAAATCTGCTTTAAAATTTGATACCTGATAACCCCTTTGGCTTTCGAATTGGCTGACAATCAAAATGCCAACTCTTGCCATCTAACTACAATTAAAAGGAAATTCTAAGGCTAAGTGGTCAAAAGTTGCACTTTCAACTTTTTTTTTTTTTTTTTTGTTTGAGACAGAGTTTCGCCCTTGTTACCCAGGCTGGAGTGCAATGGCGCGATCTCGGCTCACCGCAACCTCCGCCTCCTGGGTTCAGGCAATTCTCTTGCCTCAGCCTCCTGAGTAGCTGGGATTACAGGCACACACCACCATGCCCAGCTAATTTTTTGTAGTTTTAGTAGAGACAGGGTTTCACCATGTTGACCAGGATGGTCTCGATCTCTTGACCTCGTAATCCACCCGCCTCGGCCTCCCAAAGTGCTAGGATTACAGGCTTGAGCCACCGCGCCCGGCCTCAACTTTTTTTAAAAAGATACATTATTTGGGTGGGCATGGTCACTCATGCCTGTAATCCCAGCACTTTAGGAGGCCAAGGCAGGGAGATCATGAGGTCAGGAGTTTCAGACCAGTCTGACCAATATGGTGAAACCCTATTTCCACTAAAAGCACAAAAAAATTAGCCTGGTGTAGTGGTGCATGCCTGTAAGCCCAGCTACTCAGGAGGCTGAGGCATGAGAATCGCTGGAACCCTGTAGTCGCAGGTTGCACTGAGCCTGCACTCCAGCAATGGTCAACAGTTTCACTTCCAACATTTTTAAAAGATACATAATTTTCCGAAAAATTTTTATGACCGTTTGAATAGTTGGGCTTTTGCTAATCACTCATAACCAACAGAATTACATATATTTTGCAAGCTCTAATACAGAACACTTAATATTCATATCAGAAACCCATTATTGTAATGCATATATCTGGTATAAACAATCTTTTTTACACATTGAATTCTGCATTTTATTCTTCCTTGATATGTATGAGATTCACCAGTACCAGTTTTCTCTTGTGGCACAAGGAGCTGAATGTCATTTGCATTACCTATTAAAATTCTGTGGCAACTCATGGTATTATTGAACATATGTTCTAGTGTCTTTTTGCAGATTTAAATATTTAATTGTAGTGTCAATTTAATATTTAGATGTGTGTTACCTGTCTGGATAATCTGTAATTAAACTGATCTTTTGTAATGGTGATGGTGATTAGCACACACTGAAAATCCAGGAAAGCAATTATTTTCCTCTTTTTACTGGAAATCACATTTGTAAGTTGTGATATCGATTATCAGCCATGCATTCATGATTCAATTTTTATTTTGTGTGTCTGGTAAGAAATTTTACATAGCATTCAATTTTAGCATAAATTTTGAGCCTTAGGAAATTAATTCTACAAATCTTATACAGACATAAATGTATCAACCTTATATGTTTTACAAAGCTATATATATATATATTCCATTTATTAAAATACTGGAACTGGCGTTATGTAGATATAGTTGTAGATATCAGAGTGAAAATAAAATGTGAAAATTACAGCTTAAGTATTTATGGTAAAAGTAAATAAATACAAGATATAAATTATGCTTTTTTTTTTTTCTTTTTTTGATCGGGAGTCTTACTCTTGTTGCCCAGGCTGGAGTGCAATGGCACAATCTCAGCTTACTGCAACCTCTGCCTGCCAAGTAGCTGGGGCTACAGGCATGTGCCACCACACCAGGTTAATTTTTGTATTTTTAGTAGAGACGGGGTTTCACCATGTTGGCCAGGTTGGTCTCAAACTTCTGATCTCATGATCTGCCCATCTCGGCCTCCCAAAGTGCTGGAATTACAGGTGTGAGCCACCATGCCTGGCCTAAATTAGACAACTTTATAAGGTAGTTATTTACAATTGCTTAGAACTTACATGGCAAGCTGAAAAACTGAAAAAGTTAAACGCATGCTTTGGCAGTTTAGCTTTTCTGAAGAGTTTAAGTAGAATAAAATAATACATCTCAAAATATCAACTTTTCTGGTAATTAATTTTCAGATCAAAAGTTAAATTTCACAAAATTTTATGCTCATCAATTTAATCAGAAGTCTCTTACAACTGGAAGAGATTACAGAATGATGGTGCTTTCATGTTGGGTGGGAGAGAAAATTATTACCAGGGGCTAGATCATACAGTAGTTTTACTAATCAATGTTGACTTTCATGACTATTTTGTCTCAAATTATGTTAATAATAAAGTCATGGCCTTGACCCAAGATATTTTTTAAAACTGATGTTTTTGGGCCTGGTGTGGTGGCTCACAACAGTAATCCCACACTTTGGGAGGTCAAGGTGGGTGAATCACCTGAAGTCAAAAGTTCGAGACCAGCGGAGTTTTGAGATTCTGTCTCAAAAAACAAACAAAAAAACCCCAAAAATTATGTTATCAGCCATTTTAATTAAAAAATGCATAGAAATGAAGACATTTAAGTCACAATTTATATTTGAAAATTAAAATGAGGCCGGGCGTGGTGGCTCAAGCCTATAATCCCAGCACTTTGGGAGGCCGAGGCGGGTGGATCACGAGGTCAAGAGATCGAGACCATCCTGATCAACATGGTGAAGCCCCATCTCTACTAAAAATACAAAAAATTAGCTGGGCATGGTGGCGCGTGCCTGTAATCCCAGCTACTCAGGAGGCTGAGGCAGGAGAATTGCCTGAACCCAGGACGCAGAGGTTGCGGTGAGCCGAGATCGCGCCATTGCACTCCAGCCTGGGTAACATGAGTGAAACTCCGTCTCAAAAAAAAAAAAAAGAAAATTAAAATGCTCTGGAAACCTTTTTCTTGAAAGGCTTTCTAGGTAGAGCATTATATTATCAGTAAAGAAAGTTTAATTTTCTTTTTTACATGTTTTTATTTTGTTGGATTTCTCTGACTAGGAACAATTACATTGAATAGGAGTGTTACTGTAGTATGTATACTTGTCTCATTTTTATTCTAATGAATACGTGCAACTAATGCCTTTTTAGTATAATGTTGGCTGAGGATTTTTCATGTGTCTTATTGAGGTATATTTTGCCAATACTTCCTTTGTTGAGAATATAATTGTGAATGAATATTGAATTCCGTAAGTGCATTTTCTGCATCTATTGTGTTAATTGTACAATTTTTTGCTTTAATTATCTTTACATGGTGAATTGCAGTTATTGACTTGCATACGATGAAACATCTTTGCATACGTGAAATAAAGCTCACATGGGGCCGGGCGCGGTAGCTCAAGCCTGTAATCCCAGCACTTTGGGAGGCCGGGGCGGGTGGATCACAAGGTCAAGAGATCGAGACCATCCTGGTCAACATGGTGAAACCCCGTCTCTACTAAAACTACAAAAAATTAGCTGGGCATGGTGGTGCGTGCCTGTAATCCCAGCTACTCAGGAGGCTGAGGCAGAATTGCCTGAACCCAGGAGGCGGAGGTTGCGGTGAGCCGAGATCGCGCCATTACACTCCAGCCTGGGTAACAAGAGCGAAACTCCCTCTCAAAAAAAAAAAAAAAAAAAAAAGAAATAAAGCTCACATGACTGTGACAAAACAACCTTTTAATTTGCTTATGAACTCACCTTGCTAGTGTTTCATGGACAATATTTGTTTCAATGTTTATCAAAAATATTGGCCTGTAGTTTCCTTTCTTTGTTGTGCCTTCCCTAGATTTTAGTATCAAGATAATATTGATTTTGTAAAATGAGTTAAGGTGTAATCCCACATTGAGTATTTGGAGTACATTTAGTAGTAGTAGGAACTCATCTTTGTATATTTGGTAACATTTGTCTGCCATTTTATATAATTCAGGGCTTTTATGGTTGGTAGGTTTTTTATTACTAGTTCAGTTTCATCATCTATTTTATACGTTTTTGTCCAGTGCAAGACTTCTGTTTCTTACTTGTTCAATTTTGGAAAGTTGTGAGCAACTGCTTCAGAGTTTTCCTCTAGTACAAAAGGCATACGGTAAGATCTAATACCTCTTTACATTTGTGATGTTCACCTTCAAAATAAATACTCTTAATCACTTTAAAGGCTTATGTTTTCATAGGCATGCACCACCACGCCTGGCTAATTTTGTATTTTTTTAGTGGAGACAGGGTTTCTTTCTCCATGTTAGTCAGGCTGGTCTCAAGCTCCTGACCTCACGTGATCTGCCTGCCTAGGGCTCCCAAAGTGCTGGGATTACAGGTGTGAGCCACCACACCTGGCTCAAAGACCTTTTGACAGTAATTGCACTTACCATGTTTTTACTAAGTATGAACTCTCTGTTGATGCATAAGATGTGAGCCAATATTAATGTGTTTCTCACAGTCTTTACATTTGTACAATTTTTCTCAAATATAAATGCTTTGCCTTGCAACAAGGTGTATTGGTTGAAAGTTTTGGCACACTGGTCTCATTTGTAGGGTTTCTCTCCAGCATGAATTATACTATGTGTAGTAGGGGTTGAGGATTGGTTAAAAGCTTTGCCACATTTTTCACATTTCTAGGGTTTCTCTCCAGCATAACTTATCTTATGTGTAGTAAGTTGGGAGAACCGCTTAAAGGCTTTGCCACCATCCTCACATTTGTAGATTTTCTCTCCAGTATGAACTATGTTTAGTAATAGATAAGGATTTGTTAAAAGCTTTGCTGCATTCTTCATATTTGTATGATTTCTCTCCTGTATGAATTTTTTTATGATAAGTAAGGTATGAGAATCAATAAAAAGCTTTGAGACATTCTTCATATTTGTAGGGTTTCCCTCCAGCATGAACTTTCTTATGTGTAGTCAGGGTTGAGAAGTGGTTAAAAGCTTTATCACATTCTTCCTATTTATAGGATTTCTCTCTGGTATGAATTTTCTTATGTTCCTTAAGGGTTGAGGACTGCTTAAAGCCTTTGCCACATTCTTCACATTTGTAGGGTCTCTCTCCAGTATGAATTCTCCTATGTGTAGTAAGGTTTGAGAATAAACTAAAGGCTTTGTCACATTCTTCACATTTGTAAGGTTTTTCTCCAGTGTGAATTCTGTTATGTCTCGTAAGGTGTGAGTACCAATTAAAAGCTTTGCCACATTCTTCACAGTTGTAGGGTTTCTCTCCAGGATGAATTTTCTTATGTTTAGTAAAGTGTGAGGACTGGTTAAAAGCTTTGCCACATTCTTCACATTTGTAGGTTTTCTCTCCAGTATGAATTATCTTATGTTTAGTAAGCGTTGAAAGTACAGTAAAGGCTTTGCCACATTCTTCACATTTGTAGGGTTTCTCTCCAGTATGAATTCTCCTATGTCTACTAAGGTATGAGGACAGGGTAAAAGCTTTACCACATTCTTCACATTTGTAGGGTTTCTCTCTGGTATGAATTTTCTTATGTCTACTAAGGTGTGAATAACAATTAAAAGCTTTGCCACATTCCTCACATTTGTAGGGTCTCTGGCCAGTATGAATTCTCTTATGTGTCGTAAGAGTTGAGCAAACGCTAAAGGCTTTGCCACATTCCTCACATTTGTAGGGTTTCTCTCCAGTATGAATTCTCTTATGTGTAGTAAGGTGTGAGTACCAGTTAAAATCTTTACCACATTCTTCACATTTGTAGGGTCTCTGTCCAATATGAATTTTCTTGTGTGTAGTAAGGGTTGAAAATATACTGAAGGCTCTGCCACATTCTTTACATTTGTAGGGTTTTCCTCCAGCATGAATTCTCTGATGTCTTTTAAGGGTTGAGAATACATTAAAGGCTTTGCCACATTCTTGACAATTGTAGGGTTTCTCTCCACTATGAATTTTCTTATGTTTAGTAAGGTGTGAGGACCATTTAAAATCTTTGCCACATTCTTCACGTTTGTAGTGTTTCTTTCCAGCGTAAATTATCTTATGCCTACCAAGAGTTGAGGACTGGTTAAAAGCTTTTCCACGTTCTTCATATTTGTAGGACTTTTCTCCAGTATGAACTCTCCTGTGCCTAGTAAGGGTGGAGAACCAATAAAAGGCTTTGCCACATTCTTCACATTGGTAAGCATTCTCTCTAATATGAATTCTTTTATGTTGACTTAGATGTAAAAGCATGCAAAATGATTTGCCACATTTTTTACATTTGAAAGGTTTCCTTCCAGTACGTCTTGTCTTACGTCTACCTGAATTGAACAATTTATGAATGACTTTCCCATATGTATCACATTGAAATATTTTGCTCTGGTTACTGGTCAAACACTGGTTTAGTTCATTAGAACCTTCTTTGTGCACATTACACTCATTCACACTTTCACAGCCTTTTCTTATCTGTAAATCCTTATGTCCACATTTTCCATATTCTCTCAGTACCACTTTTTGAAAAGAATCTTTTATGCCTGGCCTTTGCCCAAGGTCTTGGCCAAAATGAGAACACAGAACTGAAAGAAATAAAAATAACAAATTACTCCACTTACTAGAGTCAGATAAATATAGCTTACAAATCTAACCTGTAACATTATACACACTATATAAACAAGATGACATAGCAAAATACCAAAGGATCTAATTTTTTATAGACATATATATGTAACAAAAACATATTAACCAAAATACATCTCAGAAAAAATTATAAATAAGTGTTTGAAGGGCCCCACGTGAGCACAATGCAAAAAGCCACACAGAAGGGAAAAAAAAACAACAGAAAAAAAACTTTGTTACATTTACCCAACACAGCTCTTCCAGCTCCCCAATATAATAAAATGCCTTTAGAAATAAACTGCCAGCCAGGCATGGTGGCTCACTCTGTAACTCCAGCTACTTGAGAGGCTGAGGCAAGAGAATCGCTTGAAAGCAGGAGGCAGAGGTAGGAGTGAGTCAAGATTGTGCCACTGCATTCCACCTTGGGTAGCAGAGCAAGACAACATCTCAAACAACAACAACAACAACAAAACAGTAAATTGCCAACTTCCAATTTTTTTTAAAGAAAGACAAGTAAAATACTGGCTCCTACGTCTTTGTTACTTGCTTGTAGGTGCCTTTCCAGACACTGGTTTCTGTCTCCTCTAACACACAGTGCTGAAAGAAATGGTGGGATGCTTTGGAATGACAGTTTGAGTCTGCTGAGACCAAAGGTGAATGTTGCAGCAGTGGACACTTAAGTAACACAGAAAAAAAGAAAAAGAAAAAAGAAGGTGTAGGAAGCGATTACTGAGTATTAAGAAAGAAGACAAATAATTTTCTTTAAAAATACAAAATTTCACACGAGACACATTCTAAGAACATGTTTACGAGACTTTCAGAATCTCTGACCCAGATAATTCTTCAAAGTTGCCAGGAGAAATCCATATTTTTTTTTTTTTTTTTTGAGACGGAGTTTCACTCATGTTACCCAGGCTGGAGTGCAATGGCGCGATCTCGGCTCACCGCAACCTCCGCCTCCTGGGTTCAGGCAATTCTCCTGCCTCAGCCTCCTGAGTAGCTGGGATTACAGGCACGCACCACCATGCCCAGCTAATTTTTTGTAGTTTTAGTAGAGACGGGGTTTCACCATGTTGACCAGGATGGTCTCGATCTCTTGACCTCGTGATCCACCCGCCTCGGCCTCCCAAAGTGCTGGGATTACAGGCTTGAGCCACCGCGCCCGGCCGCTGAGAAATCCATATTACAAAGATTGAAACAGGTAACTTTTGTTTTTTCTCTCAGACAGAGTATCACTCTGTCATCCAGGCTGGAGTGCAGTGGCACAATCTCGGCTCACTGCAATCTTCGCCTCCTGGGTTCAAGAGATTCTCCTGCCTCAGTCTCCTGAGTAGCTGGGACTACAGGTGTGAAGGACCATGCTTGGCTAATTTTTGTATTTTTTAATAGAAACCAGGTTTCACCATATTGGATAGGCTGGTCTCAAACTCCTGACCCCGTAATCTGCCCATCTTGGCCTCCCAAAGTGTTGGGATTACAAGTGTGAGCCACCGTGCCCAGCCCAGGTAACTTTTTTTAATGTTCAAATTTTAATAAAAGATTACCTGGCCTTCTTTGTGTATGTGGCCTGAAATGAAGGCTCATTACAGTGCCATGAAGGCAACAGGATTAAGATAAACATCACCTTTTGATAGCATTAAATTGATTTTTTAAAATAGTAAATGCTGGAGTGGGGACAACTGATTTGAATAAAGTTGAAAGAACATATGAAAGTCAGTTTTAAGATGTCATGTTTGAGTAGTGTAAATTTTGATCATTCTAATATGATCAAAAAAAATTCTAATTTTTTTTTTTTTTTTTTTTTTCTGAGACGGAGTTTCGCTCTTGTTACCCAGGCTGGAGTGCAATGGCGCGATCTCAGCTCACCGCAACCTCCACCTCCCAGGTTCAGGCAATTCTCCTGCCTCAGCCTCCTGAGTAGCTGGGATTACAGGCACACACCACCATGCCCA